CGGATTTTCCATCTTCAAAGTTAGTTGACAGGCAATCTCAGCATAAATAAGTAGAATTCTGATACCAAGGGACTGGAAATGGCAGGTTTTACTTCATCCAAATACTTTTGCCTTTTTCAAAATTGTTTAGAGACAATTAAATAATTTATTCAAGTATAATATCTGTTTAACGTAAGATAAAGAAGACATACATTTTTTTATTAATACTCTAGTTAATAAAATCAGCAATGAGCACCTTGGAACAGTACGCTAAATATGACAGTTAACATTGTAGTTAGTGTTGCACAATCAATCAACTCAGAACTGTCGAACAGTAGAAGGATTAAAGATATATAGTCAGCAAACCTTCACATTCAGACTTTTTTAAATTCATTATGACGGTGGTTCTGAAATTTTACTATTATTGTTTGGACCTTTGCAACGTTATTTTAATTTTTATACTAAAAGTTAATTTGAAATAATTAAAACATAAGTTGTGTAAAATTTTAAACACAAGAAGCGTTAGATTCAAAAAATTAGTAGTTAAACTTAAAATTAGTATTAAATATTTATTTTTTATTTGTTCAAAAATAATATACGCAATGTTATTAGTATTGAAAGTTGAATAATTTAATTATTATTCACAATTATAGCTAATCACGCAAACCTTTAAAAGAACATTTTAGTTTTTAATTAATTTATTTATACCGATACTACGTATAATACTAAAGTATAATATGTAACATAATACTGTATCTGTAAAATAAATCAAACAATACAACTGTACTTTCATTGTAACAATTTACACTACACCTACATTAAAAAGATAATGAATCGGTTTTCGAATGCATGGGTTTATTATAGTGTAATACCTGGTGAACAATATCCACCTATGCATCACCATAGCACAGATAATGGAAGTACGCTATAAAGTGTATACCTGCCGTAGCTTTTGTCTGTATATAGCGTCCGTATAGTGCACACTAGTGTTCCGCAGCTGGTAATGCTATTGTAAAGGCTGGCAACAATGTTCTACGACATACGGTACCTCGCATTTATGCTACATATTGCGTACTTTTGGATGTCATGGTAAACTATAAAGAGTTTACTATTTCATTATATTTTGTCTGTGTGATTGAATTTCAAGTTAAAGTTTTCGAAAAGTAAACAGGTTTGAAATCAATTCAAGTAAAAAATACATCAAAAGTGTTTTATTTTAGTATTACAAATACAGAAATCATTTGAAAAACATTTTTTGAATAGTCAGGCCAACAAAACTGACAAACTATTTCCAGAGTGGAATAGAGGAAAACTCATACTATAATACCAATAGTTTACTTTTGATGAAGAAATAACTGTTAAAATGATACATCTATCTATATATAAAGCCAAAAGTACCCATGAACTTTTGAGAAAACTACAAGTCACACCCCCATAAACCATATACTTAAAATGTTCGTCATGACGAGAAACCTTGCGCTAAATTATCCATTATTTCATAAGTTGCCCTATAAGGTCGTAATTGCTTTCCAAAGGGAACTTTCCATTTACCTAATGTTAAAAATAACTCAGCTGTTATTATTTGTTTGTATTCTGCTTTGTTTATTTCATCTTAACTTAACCAATCAATAGTTTTATTAATACTAATGTAGTAAAATGGGGTGGAGCCCGTGGGTAACAGCTAGTATATATAAAATCCAATGTATGTTTGTTTGTATGTATGTTTGTTTGTTTGTCCTTTATGGACTCCGAAACCCCTCGACAGATTGTAATGAAACTTTCAGGCATTATTAAGCATTATACAAGGATGGTTTGTGTGAAGTTTGGTGCAGATGCGTCAAAAGGGCTCCGTCTGGAGTTTCCCATGTTAACCTTATGAGTACTCACATTTAAATGGAATTAAAGAAACTTAACAGATGGTTCAACTAAGCAATTTGGAACTGTGATGTTCAATAGCATTTGAAAGATATTAAGTTTACCAACAGAGTGCAGCACGATTTTTTTTATTTATGACAACAGCTAATTTGCAACCAAAAGGTGAGTGAGCGTAGTGAACAAACTTCAATCTGGAGGCGACTTAGCGTAGCGAACGAGCTCCAACCTAAAGGTGAGTGAGTGTAGCGAATGAACTTCAACCAGGATCTTGAAAATGAACAAGCATTTGACATAAAACCACATTAGGACAGGACGACGTCTGTCGGGCCAGCCAGTATGATATAACTTAGGAGATTGAACATAATAATTTCAAATTATTTAGCAAACTTAACATAAACAATAAGACCTTTAGTTACCTAACCACATAATCTAACTGTTAGATAGTTAAATGTATAAGTAATTAATACATTAGCTGATTTATTATTATTAAGTTTGTTAGTAAATATTCTGCTTAGTTTGATGTGTTTAAGAATTCAATAAAATGGTTCTTTTATATTTTGAATATCATTTAGTGTAATTCTACATTGGCGACGATGAGTAAACGAACCAAAAGAAGAGATAGTTATTTCAATGAAGAAGATAAGTATGAAACTAAAGAAGACGCATTACAATCAAAGATAGAGAAGTTCAAATGTCAAAGCTATGATGAGTCTAGTAGGTGGGATGATTATGAAGCACATTTTCTCTTGTTATGCAAGGTAAAAGGATTGGGAGAAGATTCTCAGAGAGCAGAGGATGCTCGAAGGGATCTTTTGCTTGCCTATGTGGGTCCTGCACCATTAAGAAAAGTTTCAAACTTTCTGCTGCCTTTAAAAGTATATCAGGCCACGTGGGCAGAACTAGTTAATGGTGTCAGGTCAGTATACAAAGCTAGTAAAACTATATTTTCAGCTAGAATGGAATTTGAAAAAAGTATCAGAGAAAATAGTGAAAGTCTTTCAGAATTTGTAATACGTTTGAAAAATTTAGCAGATTTTTGTAAGTATGAGAACAAGTTTGATGAAAGAATAAGAGATAGATTTGCTGGAGGTATAAATTTTCCAGAGTTTGAAGTAGAAATTAGACAACGATGGCCTGATGGGGTAAAAGAAAATGGTGACAAGTTAACATCTGAAGATGTTTTTGAACTGGCCACTTCAATGGAAAGGGCTCGTCATGAGATATTCAAGAATAATGATAAAGAGTTGGAAGTATCACAAGTAAGAAGAAACAATAAGGAGTTTAAAAGAGAAGTGAAATACAATGAAAATACAAATCATCCATGTAGTAGATGTGGAACAAAGCATGAATTTGGTAAATGTCCAGCCTATCAACAAAAGTGTTTGAATTGCAAAAAAATAGGACATTTTGCAAAGGTATGTCGACAAAAACGAGTGAATAATTTGCATGAAAAGTCACAAGATGAAGAATCTGAATCGGACTCACATGACATGAGGATAAACGATGTTAAAAAGGAAAGAAGACATATTTGTAAGGCACGTATTCATTTAAAGTTAAATAAGGTAGCTACAAACATGGAATTTGACTCTGGAGCTTGGGCCTCAATGATAGGTAAGCCTCTTTGGGAGAAAATTGGTTCACCAAGACTTGATAAGACTAATTCAAAATACGTGGCATATGGAAACAATATTTTAGATATACTTGGTGAATGTTATGTCAATGTTTCAGTAGGTGATGAGACACGTAGATTAAAAGTAGCAGTAGTAAATGGAAATGAGAAACCGCTGTTTGGTTTACCATGGATATTAGCCTTTAATATGAACCTCCCTCCTGATGTTACTATTAGTAAAGTAAAATGTAAGCAGAATCATAATCAATATAAGATGGATGATGTGAGGGTTAAGGAAGTACTAAAAGAATTTGAAGATGTGTTCTCTGAAGGACATGGGAAAATCAAGGGTTATAAAGCACGAATTCACGTTCGAGAAGATGCAAACCCTCAACATTTTTCGGCGCGCAGGGTTCCGTTTCCCTTGAAAAAACGAATTGAGAATGAACTTACAAGACTTGTAAATGAGGATATCATTGAAGAAGTAGATCCTGCTGCTACACCTATTCCCTGGGCTACCCCAACAGTTAATGTAGAGAAGAATGATGGTTCAATAAGAATTTGTGGAGATTTCCGAGTCACTTTGAATCAAAATTTGGTCCCAGAAAATGCAATCATTCCGACATTTGAGGAACTAACAAACAAAGTTGCAGGCGGACAAGAGTTTTCCAAGATAGACCTACGAGATGCATACCTACAAATGGAGGTTGCAGAAGAACACCGAAAGTATTTAGTAATAGCAACGCATAGTGGTTACTATAAATACAAACGTTTACCTTTTGGGATATCATCTAGTCCAGGTATTTTCCAAAGATATATGGAAAGACTCTTAGCTGGGATACCACAGGTTGGAGTTCTTCTGGACGATATTATAATAACTGGAAGGAATAAGAACGAGCATTTACGAAATTTGAGAGAGGTTTTGAAACGAATGAAAGAAGCTGGTATAAAAGCAAAGTCTAGTAAATGCAAACTTTTTGAAGAGTCAGTGACTTACTTGGGACATACAATCGACCGGAATGGAATACATCCTACTGAAGAAAAAATAAAAGCCATTCGAGAAGCACGGTCACCTACTAATGTCAAGGAACTACGATCATTTTTAGGTTCTATTAACTACTATGAACGATTCATTCCGGGACTTCATGCCATTTGCAGTGATCTCCATAAGCTGACTGGGACTAAATCACAATGAAAATGGTCCGAACAAGAAGAGGGGACATTTAAAAGAGTAAAAGAAATTCTATCAAGTAAAGACACAGTAGTGCCATACGAAGAAATGAGACCATTGGTAATGGTCTGTGATGCATCAGAAAATGGATTGGGAAGTGTACTAATGCACAGATATGAAGATGGACTAGAAAGACCAATTGCTTTTGCCAGTCGTACACTATTGCCCGCTGAAAAACAATATTCAAATATCGACAGAGAAGCGCTAGCTATTATGTTTGGACTCAGGAAATTTCATCAATATGTATATGGTCGGAAGTTTACTTTAGTAACCGACCACAAACCTCTACAACGGATATTTGGAAATATGCGAGATCTCCCAAAAGTTGTAAATAGCCGTTTAGTGAGGTGGGCTCTCCAGTTGAATCAATACAACTATGACATAGAGTACAGAAAAGGAGAAGATAATGTGTGTGCTGATGTTCTATCAAGACTTCCGATTGAAGATGATCAACCTGAGGAGGCTCACATTGGTTTTTTGAATGTTGATAAGGTTAACTCTATCATGTCTTATGACCTCTTGAAACAAAATTCATTTACAGATAAGGCAATTAAAATGGCAAAAAACTTTGTATTGAGAAATACATGGCCCCCTGTTGTTCCTGAAATGTTGAAGTCATATAAACAGAGGAAAGATGAATTGAGTGTTGAAGATGACATATTATTGTGGTTTGGAAGAATTGTAGTTCCGGAATGCATGAGAACTGATGTTCTGAAGATATTGCACACAGGACATCCTGGTATTGTATCAATGAGGTCTGTAGCACGACACTATGTATGGTGGCCCAACATGGATAAAGATATCGAAGTTTATATCAAGAGGTGCACATCTTGTCAAGAGAATCGAGATAATGTGGAAGAAGTACCATTATATCCTTGGAATGTACCTGATAGAGTTTGGGAAAGGGTACACATTGATCTGGCAGGGCCAGTCAACGGATCTATGTGGTTGGTAGGTATTGATGCTTTGTCAAAGTGGGCAGAAGTGGACTGTCTCAAGACAACAAACTCTTCAACAATCATTCAACGATTGAGATCTTGGTTTAGTCGATATGGAATACCAAGTGAAATTGTGACAGACAATGGACCTCAATTTGTATCAAAGGAAATGGAAACATTTTTTGAGAAAAATTCTATCAACCACATAAAAACAACTCCTTACCATCCTAAAAGTAATGGACTTGTGGAAAGACTAATTCGTACTTTGAAAAGACGGTTCTACACAACAAAGCAGGATGTTGGAGATGGAATGCTAGCTCTTCAAAATGTTCTTTTTAGCTACAGAAACTCGCCTCAGAAAACAACTGGTAGGACTCCGGCAGAATTGTTTCTCGGTCGTAGACTACCAACAATCTTTGACAATATGAAACCTAATCTTAGGAAAAAGATGGAGATGAAGCTTTGGAAAGAACAAGAGAGGGACAGCAAAAAAGTTCGAACTTTTGAAGAAGAAGAAGATGTGTGGATTAAGAATGAACATGGGAATGGTTGGTCAGCTGGAATGGTGAAAAATAAAAATGGACTGTACTCATATGATGTACTTTGTGGAGGTGTCATAAAAAGGAAACATGCGGACCAGATGAGACAAAGAATGGGAGCTGTTGAATCCGTGTAAAAAGAAAGAGGGGAAAAGTGTTAGATAGTTAAATGTATCTATCTATATATTAATAGGCAAGCATGTTTCTTTAAAACCTTTTTTCTCAGCTCGTGTGCATCGTGGGGTAAATCTACGCATACCATTAGAAAGCTATTTTCCTGTAGGTGTGCAGAATCCCTTTATAAATTTAAATAGGCTCAAAGATAAGCACAAAAAATGAGTTTAAAAATTTGAAAAAATTAACATGGATCTTATGCGTTGCCATGCTGGTGACGAAATAACAACGAAATATAAACAGAAAATCAAAACAAATGGATGAAACTCCAATCACATGTTTTATTTACAGTGTGGGGTGAAAATAGAGAAGTGAGTAAGTTTACATTACATATTTTTGGTCGAGTTTCGACCACTGGACGACCTCTCGTAAGTAATTAATACATCAGCTGATTTATTATTATTAAGTTTGTTAGTAAATATTCTGCTTAGTTTGATGTGTTTAAGAATTCAATAAAATGGTTCTTTTATATTTTGAATATCATTTAGTGTAATTCTACACTAACGAACAATGACCCAACATCTGAGGTAAGCTGTAGCATCGTTAGTCAATGCCAAGCCAGATTGAATGTTTTGACCATCACTCACCGTGGGGAAGAGAGGGAATTATCAAACTTTGGTTTAACCTCTGAAAGGTTCCACAAATAAAGGATACATTTAAGGACAACAGGGAATTCTACTTAGTGGCAAATATTTAGTTTACTGCCGACCTTATTGGATTATCTCTAACTACAAAGCTTTGCGCTTACTCATCAGTATAACCAGGCAAATTTGATCAAGATTTTTTCTTTTACTTAATGTTAGATACATACATATATTGGTATTTTGCCGATTAAAGGACGTAAATATTTGTGAAACATTGTTAGGTTGGGATTCATTTGATTGTTTACCAACTTATATTTGGTTATAGATTAAACAAAATGTAACAAGTCTTAAATGTAAGTTAGACGTAACTATCTCAGCAAAAAAAGTAAGATTAGGCAATCTAACTATTTTGTTGAAGAAAATGATGTAATATTTAGCTAAATGATTATAAGTATTTAAGGTTATACTATCCAAAATTATATTGTTTTTTTTTACATATAAAACATTATAAAACTCATACGTGCATAGTTATAAATTAAACAGCATTCAATAGTGTGAAATTAAATATTAATTAAGACTCATTAGGGAATTAAACATGTACAATAGTCCGTTCTATCACACGGGAATAATTTGAAATTATTTAAATTATGATACAGTATTAGCTTGGATTTACCTTCCTCTCAGCCGATACCAGAGTGCTAAATTTATTAGATAATAATTGTATTTTATAAAATAAATTTGTTAGGCTTTCATGTTTTGAAATAATTATTAAATTGTATGTGTTATAATTTTATAGAATAGATCCGTGTACTATAATAACGTCAATATAGTTCATTGTAGTGATAAATCTGTTTAAAACATCTTTGTCCCATGAAGACACGTTCCATATACGTCAATCCACATAATATGATAATATATTTTTCTGTCAATGATATTATCATTGACAAGGATTTTATATTTTAGACATGTAGAAATGAGGTAAGCTTTGAAAGTTATCGTGTTTTTACACTATTAATTAACCAACACTAGGTGAAATTCATTGTATTAGTAATATAATTATAGTCGGGTCATGGGAGGGGGTAGACATAGGAGAATTTGGGAAAAAGCAAGATGAACTCACAAATTGTTCAATGCATAAAACAAAGTGTCTAGATTGGTAGAATCATTGAAAGCTTTCATCCCCTTCAGTTAGGTAAACAATTATGGAATACTTTTAATGTTACAAATACAGTAGCTATTTCTCATTCCCCCGTGCTTATGTAAAGGCTACTTACTGGGTGAGGTGTTTCAAATATTAGTTAATGTTTATTTGCTACTCTCTTTATGCTAAGTATAATCTTTTATGGTTTTTTTACCGCTTCGGGATGAGTTCATTGTGTAAAAGCTTATCACAAATGATAGTATGTTAACAAATTAATTAATTAATATTTTACCAATTAATTAAGATTTAACAGTCTTAATATAGTAAAACAAAGAACGAAATTTCACATGGTATATTTTTACCGTTAATATGCCAATTGTAATTTTAAATGCTTGATAATCCTATACGGGGTGAATAACTGAACTGTGTCACCATTAGTATTTCAGAAGCAATTAAATTGAGAGAAAACATTAAAAGGGGAACTTCGACTATTTCCTAATTATATTAAGAATCCTTGAAGCCCAGACATTTTAACACATAAAACAATTTCAAAGCTACAAAGGAAATTTCTAATCTCATAGTATACTAGGTATTTAAATTACAATCACTTTGGCATTCGAACAAATAATTTGGGAGGGTAATTAACTCTTCAACGGTTGTTTGAAATTAACGAAATTAACATTGCTGTTATGGCTGACAAATCCAAGAAGACCATTGGCTTCCAGGCCTCCCTTGGAAATCAATTCAAAACTATAAAAACAGTTTCTAATCACACAATATCTTAGATATTTAAAATAAAAAAATGACTTTAGTTTTTGAAAAAAATGTTGTTGGATGGTAATTAACTCCTCAACAGCTGGAATTACCCATGATGGCCGCTAGCCTCCAAGGACTCAATACTTATTCTACTTTTTCAAAAATGACCACCAATTAATTTTTCTAAAAAATAATTTTCCAATATGGTGGCTAACTTGTTATATAGTAGGCAATTTAATTTTATAATATGTTTATAATTTAACATTTTATATAATTTTATACCGTGCAAAAGTTGTTGAATTTTTACATTTTAACATTATAAAAAAACTTATCTATGCTTTATAACTCTTTGCATTTCTCGCTATGGATGTACTGCATATTGAATTTTAACTACATAAAAACGTGGAAGCGTAGCTGTGTTTTTAATTTAATCGTAAAAACTTGTTAAAAGCCTCTTTTAATGGAGGTAAAAACATATGAACACAGATTGCGGATATGAATCTGTATTAAGAAACATTCATTTAAATTACAAACGGCCGTGAGTTCTGGACAAACAAGATTCCCAGATGTAATCAGGTCTGTGTACTGAGGTTTTTCAAACTAAACGAATCTCTGATGGAATCACGACAACTTGAAATTGAATACGAGGAAAAAGAAATATATAAATAATAATACTCTATGTGACGTTTAAAACTAGAGTTTAAAGTAAAATAATTGAATTACAAACAATTAATAGTGGTTTTGCGGCAGACATTTTTGTTGAATCCTTTATCATTCAATTATTGTTTAGTTGGAATATCAAGCGTTCCTATAACTATATACCTAGCTATATAGCTATATACCTATAGCTATAGGCTGTAGCTATATACCTTACACCTTATTGCCATATTGCTATATAAGTTACCTATACAGGGTGTTTCAGAATTCTTGTCGGATATTTTAGGGTATTATTCCTGGGTAAGAAACATATCCAAATATCATATTTAAATAGTTCGGATGTCCTTACTTACTCACACAGCTGTCATTTCTTTTTTTCACTTATTAAATGTTTTCTAAAAAGTGGTAAAAGATACAAAATTGAAACTTTGCGCGAACATGTAAGTCAAGTAGACAAAGCTACAACAAAATTATGAAATGTTTTTAATTCATAAAACAAAATGGCAGCCTTTTAAAGTGTTGTTTCTTAAATAACTCTATAACCGTAGATTTAAAAAAATTACAAGGATAATTTTTTTAAGCAGTTTAACTACAAATCGATTGACACCTTCTTTTTAAGACAGGACCAATATTAACTGAGATATGGCGGCTTTAGTAACACGTGACCCCTGGAGGTCAGTTGTAGTACATTATCAATTATCCATTATTAGGATGGCTTAAAAATTGCACACCTTTTTATTGTCTTTAAAATTCACTCAAAACACCCACCACTTTTTATATCAGCTGTGGTGAAAGTCAACGTACTTGTTAACAAACTAAACAGCTGATTTTGGCTGAAGATGTTATTGTTTATCCAATGTAGTCTGTTCCTCTAACTTTTTACACTCACTCTTACAGTGTACAATCAGTGTAAAAGGTTGTTCTCTTTTTTAAACCTCGCAGATGGCACTTGATTTTTTTCATGTAAAGTTAAATATTAACAAAGTTTGATATTCTACGGTATCTAAAATGTATATTATTTTAACTACTTATTACCTTGTTTTATTATAATACTATTTATACCAGTAGTATTATTGCAGTAAGGTAAAATACAACACTTATTACTGTAAAATTCTTTAAAGAAGATGACATTGTTTCGTACACAATTAACCGATGCTATAACATGTGATCTACTTTTAGGTTCGACCCTTGCTACTCCAGAGTAAAGCTCAACTGGTCAGATGTGCTGCAAAGTTAGATTTTTGTACAATGGCAATATAACAGGTTATGTACCAACTGAATTTGACAGTAATTTCCCCTTAACATTAAAAAATGAACTGAAAAAAAACATGGTAAGGTCGTTGCGTTTAGAACATCGAACAAGCTTGGTAATATTTTGAATAAAAAGAAAGAAACAGTTGATGTAAATAAAAAATGCGGTGTATACAAAATAACTTGTGACGACTGCGAGAAGATCTACATAGGCCAGACAGGACGATCATTCGAAAAGCGGTTTAAAGAACATTTGCCTAAAGCCACCATTGTATAAAAATCTAACTTTGCAGCACATCTGACCAACAGCAACCACAACTATACAAATATTAATAATAATTTAAAACCATTACACATTTGCAGAAAAGGACATAGATTAACTGCATTGGAAAATTATAGGATTTATAAAGCTACATGGAACCAGCCTCAAAATTTGTTGAATGACAAATGGGTTTTCCAGTCAAATGCATTGTTCGAATCCCTCATAAAACTAAAGAGCTCACAACTGGATGATACAGGTGGCAGAGGACAAAGTCCAAGTTGATAAACCAGGAAGCGGCGCACCATCAGTCGA